GAACAATGATCCAAATAATCTTTAATGTTTAGAATGCCAGCAAGAAGGAATGTAAACATATCAAATTGGGACACCGGTGCATTGATAGATGCCAAGGAGTCACAACTATTCTTGAATGTACGAATGCTCGTTCTATTTTGATTTGAATGGTGATAATAGGTGAATTTGACTAGAATCACGCACCGAATAATCACCTTCTTGTGAACTTTTAATGTGAAAAATGACAACAAAATGCTCTTATTAGTGCTTTACATGATTTGCAGGTGAAATAGGTGTAAGGAAGGCTAAGGAGCGGTTTTGGAGTCAATTATTGAGGAAAAGAGGCTAATTGTTGAATTTCCAAAGTAACCCATTCAAAACAGGCCAAAATGCCCGGGTACAAGTTCCACCGCGGTTCTACCGCGACCGCGGTGAAACCGCGGTGGAAGGCAGTCTCTGAAGGTTGAAGATTCCGCGAAGGCGTTTGACCGCGGTAGAACCGCGGTGGGTACAGAAAACTTCGGGGACTTAAGTGTAAAACACGGGATTTTTAGACCTAAACGCTATTTAAAACGCTAGACTTCGCCCAAAAGGGGGAGATATTAATTTCTAAGGGTTCTTAGCAAGAAAAACAATTGTGAGAAAGTACTCTCAACATCTTTCTTCTTCTCTTTTGATTTTATGATGAATTCAAGCTTAGTTTATTCTCTCATAGTCATGAGTAGCTAAATTCCTTGTCTAAGGCTTTGATGGACCCTATTGAGTGATGAACTTCTTGTTTATGTGAATACAAATTGCTAGTTAAATCTTTATTTGTTCAACTTCGTGTTCGTTGTAGTTAATTGACAGGATCCTCAATTAGCTGTGCCTATTTAGTGTGCATAACTTGGAAAAGAGTGCATATTTAGGGTATTGTTGAACAACACCACTCCTAGATTATTAGAGGAATCTATAATTGCGGGTTTAAAGGCGGGATTAGGAATAACAAAGCCTTGGGTGCAATTTAAATTGAATTGTGCGAATTTAAGCAAGCTAGTGTATCTCGGGAGAGTGCAATAGTAGATTACTGTGATTACTTGGGAGAGATTTGCGGTAAGATTAGCGTTCATGATTGCTAGAGATGTGTGGGTAAATTTGTATGAGCATAAACAGAAGGGATTTCATCAATAGGGGAAATCATTGCCTTAGCTTTTTTTTCATAATTGTTTACAACCCTTCTAATTTAGTTATAGCCTTTTATTTACTTGCAAGTTAGTTATTAAAGAACAATCAACTGAGAATTTGAATATTTAGGAAGCTGGTTCTGAAGACTTGGTGGGTCTGAAGGTAGCAGTTGATAGGTTAACTCTCTGTGGGATTTGACTCCGGACTTGTAAACCGGATTATATTTGCAGCGACCGCATTGTCCTTTTTATAAGGCATAGTTGGGCGTGATCAAATGGGCCGGGGCTCCCGAGGTACATATGGTAAAGTGTTTATAGCCGTAACGATATATACAAGAATACTCATCCGAGCCGCAGGAACATGTACATACGGAATACGAGAATTTCCACCTTGTTGAAGATCTAGTGGTGCTACCCGAAGACTTAAATGAATAGCCATCGCTGTTAAGAACAACCGAGATCCAATGAGAATTTGCGCGTAGCTTCTGGTCTTTGACATCAAAAAAGAAGGTTGTAATAACGAAAGGGGATTGAAGCTCGCCTGCTTTGAGAGAGGAGAGACAGCCATTTGATGCATGACAATGTTGGATTGGAAGCTATCTCGCAGGAGGTAAGACGATGGCTAGGCCATTCTAGAACCTTCTATAGAATGCTAGCTTCTTGTAGCTTGTATGGCAACCCCTTTGGCCAACCTAGGCAGCTTCCTAGGACTCTCTAGAGTCCTCTAAGATGCCACCACTCCTTTGTGCTTCCATGGAGCTTCCACCAACTCCTAGATCACTCCGGAACCTTCTAGAACCTTCCATAGCGCCAGCCGAGAATTTGGATGAAATGAAGCTCCGCCATGAGTCTAGGTATGGGTAATTTTAGGGGCTTCTTTATTTTCATTGAAGCAATCAACAATGATTTTGGAGCCAATAAATTGATGAAAGATTGGTCAGGAAGGATCCAAAACGTGATTAAGGCGTATGAGGCCTATACTGGTGAGGTATGCGGCCCTAACAAGGATTATGAAATGCATTTCTCAAGGAAGGTGGAAAGAATTGATTCTCTCTCGTGAGGAGTTCTTCAAATCGATTGATAGATAGCCTGATATGTTCTGATAGATTGAAAGAGATAGAGAGTATTTTTCGAATTAATTAGCCAAACACAAACTGTTTCTCACCAAAAATACTTTTAAGAAAAATCACTTCTTAAAATAAGCTGATTTTTGCAGCTTGACGAAACATGCTATAAGACTGTTTATCATGGACCCACTGAATTACTTGATTTTTAATTTAACATCTATGTGACATCCAACTTAAGCCGAACATTATTAGAAATAACATAGACCTCACTTTTCACATCACAATTATACGTATGAATCATGCGCTTAGCAATTATAAGCACCACAATTAAGCCAGAATAATTGCACTAACAAAACAAGATACCACTAGCGTGATCCTCCAAGAAAAATTCCAAAAAATTAAAAATCAAATATATACTAAATATATGATTTCCTTATCTGTCATTAATTTATATACTAATTTAATGGCAGATGATACATATTTTTACTAAATTTGTATCATCTGCCACTAAAAATAGCAGTGGATGCAATTGTACCCCGCAGGCTCCGACTTAAAATTTTAAATATGTCTCTACTTAATACTTATAGGTTTTACGAAATCAAATAAGGAAATCAACAAGGGTTGTGGTGGAGTGGTAATACTCCTTCATCCTTAATCAAAGTTTTGGGTTCAAGCCTTGGGTATAGAGCCACTTTTGTTAGGGAGCTCTTTACCCAGATGCGGATTTGTAGAACATGGGCGCACCACTATAAAAAGAAGGAAAGAAAGTTTTAAGTGGGAATTCATCCTTAGAGTAAATAATTCAACACTTACAATTCAATCTTTTTGGAGCATGGAATTCAGCAAGTTATACCAATATGGGACTTCCCATCACAAATTCGAATTTAGTCGGACCCCAATGCGAGTATCGGACACCGAGTGAGAAGAAAAAGGAAATCAAACAAGAAAATGGAAGATTTGATTCCTAATCTTGATAAATTATGGAGTATTGTTTATTTTAAGTGATAAGTTGAATAATATCATAGTTTTGCAAAAATACATTTGATAATAAATAAAAGAGGATATTAATGTATTATTGCGAAAAAAGTGCGGATTCATGCAAGCCCATACTCAACCAAAAAAAAAAAAAAGAATAATACTAAAAGCACCTTTGCTAACACCAAGATGACCAATTGACCATCACAATATGTACGATCACTTTCATTCCCCCACCAACACCTCCACTACAAGTCTAAAATACAACGCCCCATTCTATATACTGTATAGTTTAGTCCCTCAACGTATTTTTTCTGGCTTATTTCCAAACCTATTCAATCCCTCCCCCTAGCCTATTCCCAAATTATCCAACTGTAACACTTACTTATATCAAATCAGACAATTTAATTTTACCAGTTAGAAATTAAAATGAGAATCTATATATATATAGCACACAATCATAATTAAGTGCAGAAGTGTGTATATAAGAAATATGCCTTGGATTTATTTGTGTAATATTTTATCACGCTCCTTTTTTATCCAAAACAAATCTCTCTTCGTCTCTGTATTAAAACTAACTTTAGAAATAATCGAATTATAACAGAGTTCAACACTAGTTTTAACCACATTTATAGATATAGAGTTTATGAAGAAACAAGAAAAATCTAATTTTAGTTTATTTAGTGTTGGGATCAAACTCGTAGCATTATCATTTACTCCCTCCGTCTCATCTTAACTGTCGTGGTTATTAAAAATAGTTGTCTCAAATTATTTGTCTAGAAGTTCAAGACAAACTTGATTGTTTTTTTTCCTTTTTTACCCTTAGTAATAATTATTCTTGAAGATAGAGATAACGCATAAATAGAATAAATATTCAATAAAGAGGGATTATATCTTAAAACATAAATACGGGTAGAATAGTCCAATTCATGTCCTAATTAATACTCCCTTCGTTCACTTTTACTTGTCCAGTATTTTTGTCGGAGATCGTCAAGGGAATGATCGAGCTAAGCTCAGTCGTAGAGAGAAGAGAGATTGAGAGAAGAAGAAGGAATTGTTATATTGAATTGAAGAAGAAAGTTACTGTACACAATATTAATACACTGTACTAGCCGACCTAACTAACTAATCCATAATTTACATAATTACCCTCTACACTATAACTACTTAACTACTTTAAGTGTGTCTATATCCTTAATACTCCCCCCCTCAAGCAGTATAGTGTAAACAACTTGTACACTCCCAGCTTGGATAGTAAGAAATCATGTTGTGCCTTCACCAATCCTTTTGTTAGTACATCGGCAATCTGCAGGTTTGTAGAAACATGTGCAGTCTGTATTAGGCCTTGCTGAATCTTTTCTCGAACAAAATGGCAGTCGATCTCGATATGTTTGGTTCTTTCATGGTACATGGGATTTGCACCAATCTGAATAGCCGCTTTACTGTCACAATGCAGCTTCACTGGAAGTTTCAAGTCAACATTCAATTCCTTAAACAACCCTGTTAACTAGACCACTTCTGCTATAACATTGGCTATACTTCTATACTCTGCTTCTGCAGAGCTCCTTGACACTGTACTTTGTTTCTTGGACTTCCAGGAGATAAGAGAGTCTCATAGCTTTATCACAAACCCACTCACTGATCTTCTAGTCATTGGGCAAGTGGCCCAATCTGCATCACAATACACTATGAGCTAGTCAGAAGACTGAGATGATAGCAGAATCCCCAGCCCTGGTGCATTCTTTAGGTACCTTACCACTCTCATTGCTCCTTCCAAATGTGACTTCTTTGGCTTGTGCATGAACTGGCTTAAATTTTATACAACATAGCTGATGTCTGGCCTTGTCATGGTAAGATACAGCAGCTTCCCAACTAATTTTTGATAGCTGCTTGGATCACTAAGTAACTCATCAGCATCCACAGCTCCATGAGCATTGGCTTGATCATACTCTACACTGGTGAGCTTATGGCTTGTGTCAAGAGGTGTGCAGGCCGGTTTAGAACCTGCAAGCCCAAGTGTGGCAATAAGATCAAGTGGGAACTTCCTTTGACAAACCAAAATGCTTTGTCTTCTCCTTGCAACTTCAAGATCAAGGAAGTATCTCATCTCCCCCAGGTCCTTGATCTTGAAGTGATGTTGGAGCATAGCTTTGGCATCCTGAATCAATTGACGAGATGAGCCAGTGATCAAGAGGTCATCCATATAGATCAAGATGATGACCAAACCAGAACTTGACCTCTTACTGAAGAGGGAATAATCATGATGGCTCTACACAAAGCCTGAGGAAGAGAGGGCCTCACTGAGCTTCAAGTTCCATTGCCGAGATGCCTGCTTGAGCCCATACAAGGACTTCTGAAGCTTGCAAACTCTAGGAGTCTCCCCCTCACCTAAAAGACCAGGAGGTGGAGTCATATACACTTCTTCCAGCAAGTCACCTTGAAGAAAAGCATTGAAGACATCCATCTGATGTAGCTTCCATCCATGCATAGCTGCTAAGGACAAAACAGTCCTTACTGTGACCATTTTCACCATAGGGGAGAAGGTCTCTTGATAATCAAGACCCTCTTGTTGTGTGTAACCTTTGGCCACTAAGCGAGCTTTATACCTTTCCACCTCACCTTTGGCATTATATTTCACCTTGAACACCCATTTACACCCTATAGCTCTCTTGTTAGGTGGCGGGAAAACTAACTCCCAGGTGTGATTGTCTTGTAGGGCTTGTAACTCTGCATCCATGGCTGCAATCCACTTGGGATCTCGAAGGGCATCAGCACAGGAAGTTGGTTCTGTAACAGCAGAGAAAGAGCAAAGAGCCTTAAAGTAAGGTGAAGATAATGAGGCATAGGACATGTGAGCAGACATGGGATAACTGGAACTCAAGGCAGTAGAAGGACCAACTTTTAGCATTCCATGAGCAAAATCATTGAGCCATCCAGGTGGCTTGGAAGTCCTAGTAGACTTTCTTAGTCCCTCTTCTTGTAAAGAAGCCATAGTTGGACTTGGCATTACTGCTGAAAGAGGTGGTGTAGGGTGAGGTAGTGCCAGGTCTTCAGAAGATAGAGCAACAGGAGTAGGAGCTGAGGAAGACTCAGGAGAAGGTGGGGTGCTACTACTGAATCAAGAGCAATCTCTGAGACCTCAGACGTAGGATTAATGATGAAGGTATCATCTGTATCAACAAACTGCTCAGCAGTATTCCTCCTGCATGTGGAAGCTGTGGTTTTGAATGAAAAAATGTACTCCTTGAAAGATACATCCCTGCTTACAAAAACATATTTGTTAGTGTGACTATGAGCCCGTTTGGATTGGTTTAAAAAAAGTAGCTTTTCAGCAGAAATAGCTTTTAAGCCAAAAGCAGTAAGTTGGAATTGCCCAGCTTATTGCTTTTGGCTTGTTTTAAGAAGTTTTTAACTTATTTTAAGCACTTTTTGACTTTGCCAAACACTGAAAAAAGCTAAAAAGAGCTTAAAAGCTGATTTGACCAACTTAAAAGCCAATCCAAACACCCTCTATATGGCCTATAACCCATTTGAGTGGATGAATATCCCATATGCATTGTTGGTTCTGCTCTAGCTCCAAATTCGTCACCTCTATCAGTGGCAGTAGCATAGCAGAGGCTTCCCAAAAGTGTGAGATGTTGCAGATTAGGTGGTCGACCATAGAACATTTCAAAAGGTGATTTTCCTGCTAATGTTGTGGATGGAATTCTATGGATCAGATATACTGCATTCTGCACACAAAACCCCCAGAATTTCAGTGGAATGCTTCCCTGAAACTTGATGGCTTTAGAAACCTCAAGAATCTGCCTGAGTTTCCTTTCTACCACTCCATTCTGCTGGTGTATAGGCACAGGAACTTTGATGTACCACACCCGCATTCCTAAGCATATCTGCACAATGTGAATTAAAGAAATCTGTTCCATTGTCTCTCTTGAATACCTTTATTGCACTGTTAAACTGAGTATTTACAGGAGTCATGAAGTCTTTTATTACAGTAGGTACATCACTTTTAAGCTTGAGCAGAAATATCCAAACCATTCTACTATAGTCATCTACTAAAGTGAGAAAAAATCCATTCCCATCATAGGTAGGGGTTCTATAGGGACCCCATACATCACCATGTATCAAATCAAATGTTTTACAATCTCTACTAGTACTTTATGGAAAAGGAAACCTTGTCTGTTTTGCCAAGGGACAAATAGGACAGATATTATTAAATGCAACCTATTGTGTTTTATTATATGCATGTGCTGTAGAACCTTATGTGGAATGTGCCCAAGTGTTCTGTGCCATAGCTCTTCTTCATTGGTCACACACAGTGCTGCTGAGGCTTGAATCCTATCTCTATCACTGTGAGGCCAATAGTATAGATCTCCTTTCAGCCTACCAGTCCCTTTCACCTTCCCAGTGTGAAGGTCCTGCATGAGGCAAAAGTCAAGAAAGAATAGCATACAACAGTTTAGCTCCCTAGTCAGGTTTGATACTAACAGTAAATTGTATTTAAAGCCTGGTATGCAAAGCACATTAGATATAATCCCTTGATCTAATTCCGAGCTTCCTACACAAGAAATGGCCAATATATCTCCATTTGGCAAATGAAATTTTCCTCCTATACATTTAGACTGTTCTTTAGGCTTAGAGATCACTTCATTGTTTGACACCATGTGATCTGTTGCCCCTGTATCTACTATCCACTTATCATCCTTTGCTTTACTATTAGTAGAATGAGTTACACTAACTGCATTTGCAAGCATCGGATGGTCAACTATACCTGCTGCATTAGATGCATTAGCTGTTGATTCAGGTGTACTGTCCTTTTGTAGCATCTTTAGAATTTGGTCATACTATTCTGGAGTGAATTGCGTTGGCATCTGCATGCTCAGCCCTGCATCTTTCTCTGCACCTGTAAAACCACCTAGTGATCCTGTATAACCTGCATTGATGTAAACAATATTTGAACCTAAGGGTCGTGTAGCTCCAAAACTAGTGTGACCATTTCCTGAGTTATTTCCCATTCCTTGATGTTGTCCATGATTCCCTAGTTGTGCAGAGTTACCAAAGTGTGTTGAGTTAGCCACTGGCTTTCTTCTACCCTTGAAATCTTGTAGATATCCAATTAATTGATAGCAATTCTCTTTGTTGTGGCCTTTCATTTTACAGAAATCACACACTATGTTGAAGTTCTTCCTAGGTTTCTGCATCCGAGGTCCTTTAGCACTCCAAAGTGCAGTAATATCATTGCCCTCCATTAGTGAGTTGAGACCTGTAGAGTTGTGCCATGGCGATCCTTTTTGAGTCTCATCCTCGATAACCATAGCATATGCTTGATTTAGACTAGGTTCAGTAGATTTCATAAGAATTTGCGTCTTGCCTGACTATATGAGTCATTTAGACCTCCCAAAAACTGAAGTAACCTCTATTGACTCAAGAGCTCAACATAGTCCTTCATAGAGCTAGGAGGTGGCACAATTGCATCAAATTTCCCCCATAGTTCCTTCAGTTTTGTAAAATATGTAGACACAGAGTCGGTACCTTGGGATATTGTTGCAATTTCCCTATGCAGTTGATAGATCCTTATGCGATTGACCTTGTCAAATCTCTCACGAAGATCTTCCCACATAGCTCGAGCATTTGATGCATACACTATTCCACTAAGTAGATCTGGCGATACAGTGTTTATAATCCATGAAAGGATTATGGCATTACAAGTTTCCCAATCCTCATGCAATGCTTCCGGAAACGAGGCTTTAGTGTGCTACCATCTATAAACCCTAGCTTCGTATAGCTTGAAGTGCAATCTTCATCAATCTCCGCCATAGGCCATAATTCTCGGATCCTTTGAGTTGTACCGGAATTAGCATTGGGCTTGGAATATCTGATGGATGCACGAATAGAGGATGCGTGTGGTCAATCTTATTTTCTCCCATTTCTAAATCGAAGAGAAAATTAGAGTTTTGAGAAATTGTTTATCTTCCAACTGAGCTTTAGCTGCTGCAATTGAGTGACGAAGAGGCGTCTTTAGATCTTCTCTGCTAGCTCTGATACCATGTCGGAGATCGCCATGGGAATTGTCACGACCCAATTCCCACCCGGTCGTGATGGCGCCTCTCGTGAAGACAAGGCCAGCCAACAAAACAATCAACACTACTCTTGACAATTTCTTAGCATAAACAGGTTTAAACCATAAATACTGATTAATCGAAAGTGCGGAAATAAACGTAACATAACGGGGAAAAACCATCCCAAACTCAGCCCGATGATCGGGGTGTCACAAGTCACGAGCTAGTACAGAGTTGATGAAAATACTACAAGTCTGGAAACATAGTCTGAAGATGAATAAAATATGCAGAAGATAAGGAAGAAACGGGGCTGTGGACGTCGATAGCTACCTCGTCTCTCCTAGTCCGCCTGATCTGGAAGGAAATCAGCGCTCAGGTACGAACTCAGTTGTGCCTGTCTCTGCACACATGGTGCAGGAAGTAATGTGAGTACTTCGACCCATTGAGTAATAAAAATAAATAATGACTGAGAAATAAAAATCCCACAAGGGCACAAATAATGCTATCTCAAGCAGCAACATCAGATAAACAGTAGAAACCAGTGAAATAGGAAGAAAATCTTTTGAAAACAGTTAAAAATCAATCATACTAAACCAGTAAGTCAGCCATTGTTACCTGACCGGTCAGCCATTGTTACCTGACCAAACGCGTATTACAGTGCCATTGTTACCACTGGTCAGTCATTGTTACCTGACTGGTCAGTCATTGTTACCTGACCAAACGCGTATAACAGTGTCATTGTTACCACTGTTCAATATTTAATCACTCTAGATGGGTACCCGCGCTCACTGTGGGGTGCAAACTCCGGAGGGGCTCCTACAGCCCAAGCGCTATCAACAAGGCCTGAAAGCCTGAACAGTATCAATACGAGGCCTGAAAGCCTCCTCACCTCACTCATCATGCCCTCACATAAGGCCCTCGGCCTCAATCAGTCCAGAAATAGTCAACAGCCCCTCGGGCAACAGTAAAGCAATGATACTCAGCCCAAACAATAGTTCAAATATCAGTTTAAAACTCCAAGTTTGAGTAAATATGGCTGAGTTCAAGAAAACAGTGTAAATCACATGGACTGAGTTCAAATAATATTTCAAACAGTGAGGAAAAACAGTGATGATAGTTCATAAAGAGTTCAAACAGTCGGCAA